TATGTATATTTACCCCAACTGTTTGTTCTACCTAGTAGAACTACATACAGTACTTTTTAAGTTTATGTACGTAGAAAATTAGAGTGTTATAATGTCACGCTGTTTATAAATATATGTATGTATATGTATGTAGGTATGAATAAAAATTGAGATGCTCATGTTTACATAAAAAATTTTTGCGACAAAAGCTAATAACAAGGTCAATGACTCACAACGACACTCAATTTGTATATAATGAAGTTATAACACGGATTAGTCAATGATCAATCAATCTTTAAAGCAAATTTGCAGGCTTAAATGAATGATCGAATACAATTGAATTCTCAGTGTACTTTATCAAACCCACAGGAAGGGTGATCCTGAAGGGTGGCTTCAAATCCGACAGGCAAAGCGTTAAGTCTTGAAAGAAACCCTAGAGCAGCCATGTCCAGCGCTGGTAAAGGTCCATAAGCAAGTGCAAAACTTGCACAGTAAGGCGAAATTAATAAAAAAAACTTTTTTAAGTTTTGGAAGAGTTGCAGACAAAAATTTCATAATCAGAATTTTGAATAGGCACCCAGTATCTTGGCTTAGACTTTGTTGTTAGCAATTGTAGGTACCATAGGGGTTGTTTTTTAAGGCGAAGTACTGTATTAAAAAAAGTTTAAAAATTCTTATTGAAGTAGTGTTTAAAAATATTTTTTCCCAAAAAATTAACTTCAGATGACAGAAAAGTTTAAGCTTAAAAGGTCTGCATAAAAATATTTAAAAATTTTATTAGTTATTTAAATATTTTCCCGAAATATTTTAGCGAAAGGCTTAAAATTTAATACATTTTATAAATAATTCCGGTGGGAAAACTGCAGGAGCTTTCCATCGTAGGTACAAAAATAAAGCTTGGTAGCACCAACATCTATGAATGGCAATTATAATCAAGAAAGTTTCAAAAATATATTTATTTCAAAACGGTTTATAGAATTATAATGAAACACTTTATACGGGACTCTTACGAGTAACAGTTTTATAAATTTGGACTTTCACCACTTTTATTTAGAGGGAAAAGTTGATGCTGAGGCTGTCTAAAGTATAATTTTTGCATGTCATTTCACGTCCATTTACGGGTATTTCGTGTAATTCAACTAATTCGATTATAGGCTCGTTGATGTCCACAGATGAAAATTATTGATAATGCTTTATTAATTTTTTCTAATCGTTGTTGTTGTTATTATTGTCAAAAAGATATATCTTTACATAAAATTAATTGAAAGATCGTTTACTATGTTAACTTATAGATATATTTAAAATACATTTCCGCTGAATGAAGGCTAAATAATTTTTTTTGTTAATACACTATGGAACAAAAATGAACTTAAAAAAATTTGCAGGTTCACCATACGAACTTTACCTAATACTTACTTTTACTAGATCTCCTGTTCTCGAGCAAAAATAAATTTTCATGATGCAAAATTCTGAGTATAGCGGCCAATTTTTTTTTCTACAAATTTTGAAAATCCATCGTTTTTGGACTTATATTTGCTTGGCATGCTATTTTCAACAAATATGGACCAAAAATAAAACCATACATTTTCAAAATTTGGAGAAAAAAAATTTACCGCTTTACTCAGATTTTTGAATCATGAAAACTTGTTTTCTCGAGAACACGAATTAATCTAGTAAATCTGAGTGAGAGGCATTGTTCGTATGGCCAACAGCTATTACACCTGATATATGTGCACTCTAGGTTTTTCTTTGGGTTCCACAGTGATATACTTATATCATAAATATCTATTTTCGTGGAATGTTCGTGCAACTTTTTTCGGTGAGGCACTCTAATGTACATACCAGCTTTATTTTGGCTATTGAAAATCGGATAGAAATTACGTATACCCTTTCCGATGGGCTTACAATTGTTATTTTTATCTATTTGTATTTCTTTTATTATAAATCACAATTTTATTACTTTTATAATAAAATTCATTCTTTACTCGTACTTGCATACATATCTCTTTATGTTAAAAAAATAACTTAATTATAACTTGGTTAAACACCATAATGCTTATACATACATATTTACTATAAGTATGTGTGTAAATCTAATTTGGGAAAATTACCTTTCAAATACAATTAATTACAGATATTATAGATAGTATTAATTAACAATTCGATGGCGTTGTATTAAATTATGTTTTTACGCGTGGTACGCGTTCTCTAATATACGCACATATGCACATACATACATATGGCTTACATATAGGCCATAAAAATCGACCAAATGGACAAGTACATAATAACCATGAAATTAATAGGCAATACAAGCCACTTCATATTACAATATCTATCTAAGTATTTTCTTTGCTTACTTAAGCTAAACATGCCGCTGCCTTTGTTGTTGTTATTAAACTAATTAATATCAGCATTATGATCATGAAATTGATTTCAATAGGCTTCCGCATGGATGCGCCACCAGCCAAATTATCAACAAAGGGTATTGCACTATTTGCATCCATGGCGGGGTCATCGAGATCCGGTACTGGAAGCGAGTAAAAGACGGTGCGATCGTTAAGCGGCTGCAGTGGACGGAAATTGTGAGTCAATGGCGTGTTTTCGTGCGAGTGCAGGCGTCGAAAATGCTCAATCTAGAGATGGTAAGAGTGTGTGGGAAGATTAGAGAATAATCGAAAAATTAAAACAAAGACGAAAATATAGTAATAGGAGCATAAAAAATAAACAGAGTTGAAATGAATGTTCGAACAAACTGAGAAGATCGTGGAAGCCAACGCAGAAATGTACGTTGTGTTGGGAGCCATATTTTCTGCGCGGCTGGCTCTGGTTCTGGGTAAGACTAAGTCTAACATTACCGTTTTCTAGGAAATACGTCGGACTGGGAAAAGTAGGATAATTAAAGGAGCTGGCAACGCCCACTACTGCTGACATGTAAAGAGCTGAAAACTTGCTATTAAATTTGTGGTGAGAGAGAGAGATTTTATTGCCAAGTATCGTCATTCATCTTCGGCGGATGAGCAGCGCGCCAGCTCTAACCGAGATCCTTTAACACATCGATCATTTGCGCCTATGCTATGAAGAAATAAAGGGATGAAACGTCTTAAGGTCTTATCTAAGCGCACCTAACTGATTAGGTATTATGATTTCAGCGAACTCGAAAATAACAATTGGTACCAGGAGGCATGCCACGTTGTGAGCTTTGAGAGGGGCCGCCGAAACATGTGAGTACAAAGAGCTTGAGATGCTAGTCGATAGGAAAAGCGGGGCCTAAATAACAAGTTCGCGGCTTAAAGATAGCAAACTTTCTCGAAGTCCGACGCAGCGTCGCCTTTGACAGCAAGTGCTACTTTGCATAAGTACAAAAATCACACGCTATAATTCATTCGTCATGGCCGTGCTGGTGTATGACGTGGAAGCATGGACAATGCAAACATCCGATGAGCCGGCTTTTGGAGTTTTGTAGCGAAATATTCTGCGCGTTGGCGATAGCAAATACCGCAGACGAAGAAACGATGAGCTGTACGAACTGTCTAACGATATGAACACAGTGCGGCGAGTTAAAATAAAGCGGCTCCGCTAGCTTGGCCATGCCGTACGAAAGGGCAGAAACGTCCCAGTTCTGAAAGCATATAACGATGCTGGTAACAGTGGAACAGTGGACCGCTTATTGCTACATTGCATCAAAATCTTCTTACTAGTAGAGACTTATTTTTCATCTAAGCGCAAAGCATATCCGTCGATTAATTATTCGCCAAATACTAACTAACCTGTTTGGTTGATATACCAACTGGTTCCTTAAAATCAATCCAAGTCACATCCTCACTGCAAGGCGGCGTGGTTAACGATCCTACATAGGTATAATACTCCATATAGACATTTACGAAATCCCATAGATTTGGCGGATCGACGAACTTGGCTACCGAATTTGGTTTGATGACATGCTGTAGCAGCTCAGTGAATTCAGCATAATCCGAGTTATCATCTTCTGTTATCTGCAATAAGAATAATAAACATAACGATTGCTCCTTTTTTCGATCACCTATGTACTATTAATTACTTACTTTGTAAAAATATGCCAAAACTGCCACACCATTACTATGCTTTGCCGCTTCGCCAAATGTTTGATACTTCGTATTTCTAAAAACCATATGCAACTCTGCGGGGAATGAGACATTATTTATGCGATCCTCGCTACCGACGGTATCATTATCGCCCCAGTGAAAGTGCAGTTGCTCGAAAGCGAACGAACCATCAAGTGGACCACCAGATATGGTTGGACGTTCGTCTTTGTATTCAAGGCGCACCACCACAGTGTGTCCGTTATTTAGGATTTCAGCATTTTTGGGCGTCAATTGAAACCATTGGAATTTGAGTGGTTGCGGGAAGGTGCGCCGAATCACATTAAGCGAATCGATGTTGATTGGACTCTGATGTTTGCCACTGCACGTACTATACTGCTCACCCCAGTGATCGGGTCCTATTGAAGGTTGAAGAATTTATTTATCCAATAAATCACATTACATATACGATGATACAATGGTATTTAAAGCTCACCCATGGCACCATAGTAGGCAAAATCTTTCGCAAACGTCATCTGAAAAACTAAGAGACATACATACAGACAGTTGAAATTTCGAAAGTGTTAATTTATTGCGCTTGCAGACGTCTACTGGCGTTTAATGGAGTTATTCGCATCATGTGTGCTTTTCTCATAAATGCGCAAACAAACTTATGATACAAATATATGTAACTATACACGACACCGTAAAAATCAATGTACATACTAGATTATGTCCTCAATTCGCTAAAAATAGCAACGCACTCACTGCATTTAGCATTTTGCTGAATTATTAACAATGAACTACATTTATTTCACAAATCTGTGCGATTGTTTGCGTAAAATATTTCAATGATGTGGTTAATTAAATGTGCGAAGTTATCATCTAAAATTATTCCGAAATTCGGGAGATGTTTTGCTCAATTGCTCGCAAGACAGAGACTCTTCATTATTTATGGAGAGTATTAGTTAGAAGGAAAAGAGGAAACTCACGCTGTGTCTACAATCGTGATCATCAATGCAAACGGTCTTATGTACACATGTACATATAATGACGTATTTTCAGATATTCGGCCTTTCGATTTCAATTCGGTTAGTTGGGTCCCAGAAGCCATACCTTAAAAATATACATACATATACATATTAGCACCTGGATTAAATTTTGTGACTGTCTCTCATATGTATATCTCTTTAGGATTTCAGTCCAATCAGTCTCTGTCATTAGTTCCTTTAAACACTTTTGAGTGATTAATTGATCTGCCTATTAGACAAGGAATTCCAAGCGAGCGTTCGCTCTCTAATCAGCAAACTTACTGCAGCTAGAGATCAGTAGGATCAGCTCTACACTCGATTGCAAAGGTTTCGTAGCAGGTGAATTCTTTGATACGGAGACTCCCTTGACAAACTGGGCTTCGAAATACGGAGAAGAATGAGTAGAGGTCTCCCACAAGAGCGAGTCATTTTATCGCTATTTTAGGCCATCAACGACCTAGTAAAGTCTCCGAAAAGTTCGAGCTGTCCGATGGTTGCTTTGTTAGGTCATTATGTCATATTGTTAGGGAGAATTCTTAGGTACCCAATAAGAGTTTTCGCAAGTGCATCTGAAGTTGGTAGCAAACTGGACTATTAATTATACACTAGGCAGATGTGAACCCCTGTAAAACGGAGCTCAAGCCTATCATAAGGAAATATAAAATCCTTATTACTTTGCGCTTAATCCCAAACAGCAAACCATGCTGAAAGTAAAGCAGATAGTAAAAATAATTATAATAGATGAGTCTTTGGCCGAGCTTCTCTTCCGAAGATTTACTGTTTTACGTCGACTCCAAACGGCGTTTGTATTTTTATGAGAAGCTGTTTTTCATGGCAGAAAAACACTCAGAGGCTTGTCATTGCCAGCCAAGGGGCGACCACTGTAAAGAAAGCAAATTTTTTTTGCGATGTTGCTTTGACCAGGGCTTGATCCCAGGCCCTGCGGTGTCATAGTGCGCACTGCTAACCACTAAACCACAGCGGTCGCCAGTAAAATAGATAAGAAAGGGAAAATAATATGTCGGTAGTTTTATTCGGTTATAAGGGGCTTTTCACCGAAGGTGGTTTATTGGCTCTGTTTAAGCAGTTGGAGAGTAGTCAAAATGCTGGAACCAGTAGGCACTTAGCACCACTCTTACTCAAATCATTCAGCGCTCATATTCCTTTAAGGGAATATTGTATGAAGTTCAAACTTCGAAGTCAGGGTCAAGTGAAATTATTTACGGATGGATCGAAGTTAAATGGAAGGATAAATTTGAAATTTATACTCCCAAATCATTGCATTGTTTCGATAAAATGCTCATTTGGGTTCCAGAGCCATAATGATATTGGTACGGTTAAGGCATGTCGCAAGGCACTCAACAAATTAAAAATATATTTTTTCATTTAATGCCTAAAGTCGATATTACTAAAGTCGAGGATATCACATATAAAATTTTAGTTCCGATTGAAGTCGGTTAAGACATCGTCATAGGGTAATCTGAACATTGACCCCTGTGCGACACGCCTTAACTGTCTCCAATCGGGACCAAATTTTTACGTGATGTCTTCGACCATAATAGCATCGACGAAGGGGTTGAGGCTTAGCAAATCGGATGTCCCTACATTTAAGGACAACCCTAATATATACACATTGGAATTATTTTAATTTTTACCATATTTCATATTTCGTCTTTACTCCTCGATAGCAGAGTAAACCGTCTTGTTATTTTAGGCGCTGTTTCTAAAGAATGTTACATTGTGTGAATGTTTTCTTTTTTCCCTGCTCGAGGCACCCAGTCTCCTGCGATTAGTTTCGCGCTAAAAAGATTTGATTTCGTGTTTCGCTTATGTTTGAAAATGTCGCTTGGGTAAGGATAAATTGGCGTTCGTCTTGCGTGCCATTCTAGCTATGTAATTGCAATTGTGTTAATTGTGTTAACCGTACGCGTGATCGCATTTAAACAAATTTTAAATATAGAAACAAATTTCTAATGGACATGCAATGACATTTACTGGCATGCGATTGGCAGGGAATAATTGTTTTCAGAAAGTTTAATCGGCGGCATTATAAACGGAAAGTGAAGCACCGATGCATTACAAAGCTATCAACGAAAGGCGGAAGTTGTTTCTATTTTTTTTTTGTTTTATGAAAAGCCAATCCTTAATGAGGGAGGCTAGATGAAATGATTAAATAAAATTTAGACTTTTGCATGCTTGTATTTTTTACTATTAACTGATGTGGTTAATAAAATTTGAAAACTTGATTGTGCGGTGTGTTTTAACCCTTTGAGAACCGAATTAAAATGGGGCTAGAACTTTTTTGAATCCTCAAATATGAACTGGTAAAAAATTTTAACGTCTAAGATTTCTGGTTTGGCTGTTATAAAATTTTGCTTATAAATGTTTACAAAATTTCCTAAGAAAACCCACAAACATTTTTTAAGCTTTGATGTTTTTATTTAATTTTCTTAATTATATTTTTAAACATAAACCTTTTAATTAAAAAATATATAATTTAATATGTGTATTTTTTTTTAAATGTTGCAGAACGACTTTTAGCAACATTTATGTTGCACACAAGTAGTCACAACGAAAATGCTGAAAACCAATTGCTTTCATAATTATGACTTGTGGCTCAGCTTTTAGCTTTGACAACATTCTAGAGTATCATTTGATATAAACCGTTAGAAAAAAGTCAAAAAAAAAGATTTATAAATGAAAATGTCAATGTTGCCTATAAGCAACATATCCCCTAAAAGGGTTAAATGTGTTACAAATGTTGCAATACTATGCAACTGATTAACTTTTTAAAAAATGCTTTGAAGACTATGTTTAGGTATTTAGGCTATTACAACAGATGCAGCATTTAAAGTTTGGTTGAGGAGTTATTAAGTTATGATAAAAAATTACTTCGTTCACCTATTGGATGGCATAGATATTTGTATATGGGGCGTATGTATGTAATTATAGCAGATTCGCGGTTCAAGTTACATATATCTAGAAAACTCATTTTACTTAGAGATTGCGTTTCGTGGTCGAGTTTGTTTTACGACCACCAAGGCCATGTGCTTCAAAGAGACTGCGCCTGCTCATCCTTTTTTCAAGTTGTGAATGGATGCCAAGCGATTGGACCTGGATGTGAACGAGTGCCTCTCGGTTGAGAGTCATAATTTTGAAATTGGAAAGGCAAGTGAGAAGTTACGTCCTGTCTCGTTGTACACGAACGCTTGATCCGAAACGAAAACCGAACAACTTTTTTTAAGATTTAAGATTTAATATTCGTTTCGACCAAATTGTGGGCTAGGGATTTGATGAAACCAAGTTTTTCTGAAAGTAATTTCTCAGTTTTCCCATGTTGAATATTTTAAGTGTTTTTCCAAATTTGAGTTGATGGTCGCTCAGAAGCATTTTGAACAAGTAAAATGGATTTAAATTCAAATATTTATACGTTCAAAAGAGTTCGGGTTCCAAGAAATCTAAACCTAGAATTTTTCCGCTGGGTGCGCTTGGTGCAAAAATATATGAAGAAGCATTATCTAGAAACATTGTTGAGAAACAATGTTTGCACTTTTCCTTCATGTTGCGTCCATGTTCTTTGCATCAAAGCGCACCCAGTGGTTGAAATAAATTGCAGATTCAGATTCTAGGATCTCGAAAGTGCCTGAAGGATGTTTTGAACATATAAATATTTGCATTTAAATAAATTTTAATTTTCTTAAATGCTGCTCTGCAACCACCAACTCAAAATTAAAAAAAAACGCTCAAAATCGCCAACCTGAGAAAACTGAGAAATGGCTTTTTTGCAAGCTTTTATTTAACGCGCTCTGTATGTATGCAAATATGTTTGTTTGGGTCAAATCTTGCAATCAATTCTCGACCCACTTTCCTGTTGTCTCAGAGACTTGAAACTTAGATCAGAACCAGATGACAATGCAAATGACTATAACTTGGTTTCAAAACAAAAAAAAAAAAATTATCCGGTTCACGTCTCTGCCTTGAAGTATTTAAGCGCAAGATTCTGTGGAAGATAATGGTTACAAACCCGCCAGGAAGGAATGAAGTTCTCCACTGCGATGTGAAGATCAGGTAGGGTAGGACCTGGCCTCAATCTCTTATTTCAAGCTAAGTTTATTCTTGCATACTCGTATTTGAAAGTTACCATTTTATTGAAGAAAACCTTGACCAATATGAATAAGAATGGATATTGTCAACTCATTTTGAAAAATTTCCATAAAATCAATTATTTATGAATAATTTTGTTCAAAGTCAAGCTTAACTATGGCTGCCAGCAGAAAAAGGTGACTTACAATATAATTTATTAGAGCAATTATTTTGTAAATATATGCAATCGATTGCTGTGATGTTAATCAGTTTATCGTCACAATATAGCAAACTTAGTGGAGGATTAAATACTAACCAGATCTTTCACAGTTAAATAAGTAAATTGCTTATACGTTAGCATACAGGTTTTGAAAATTACTTGGTATGTTCATATGCTTTTCATAGCTCCAAAGGACAGGTAATTGATACA